CTTTTAGTTTGAAGCAAATGTATGCGATTTAAGTTGTGAGATATTTATTTCGTCTTGTGTGCGGCAAAGGTTTAGTTTGCCGAGTGACAATAGTTACTCAGAAAACAGTTTATGTTTTGTTGCTGTTAGATTTCTACAATAAAACATCTATGAATATGGACCCTATTATGGGACTGAAATCTGATTGTCTAATGCTTATGAACTATGAGATCTTCATCTTGATGTATTACCATTTTGAATGTTGTTATATGTTAGTTTTGCATTTTTGGTATGCCACATCCATTAGAATGTGTAGCATAGTCTGTTTTAAATATGTAAATGCATGGAGTGTTGATTGTGGGTTTTACTCATTACAGATACAAATGCTTTATTGTCCCATTGAAACTCTATACCAAGCTGTTAAAGAGGTTTTCACAAGCATTTGGATTGTAGTATCCACTATCCATGAATGTTACCAAACATTCTACTTAATTACTAGTCATGGTGCATATTGTAATTGATTAATGGTGTAGAAATCAAACTACCTTACCTTATGTTCTTTTTCCTATTTACTACTTTCAAAAGTAGCATCCGGAAGAACTTGAAACAATTCTTTATTTGTTGCTTCTTGGAGAAAGCAATCTTAAGTCTTAACTTTCTTAGTTTCTTTAGCAGGCCAAAGTAGTTGAATGCCGCTCTGCACTCAGTAGTGTAGCAACAAGGTGGATCTAACCATAAGGGACTGGTGTCACATGACACCACTTCCCTTCGGTTCTATTGTTTAGTCCCTTGATTTCCATACAGGCCCATACAATTAAATGAGGCCCAAATTAGATGCAATTGATTTGCTGCAAATTCAACATGCAGCAATAGATGAAGAGAATTTGTGTGACACTTGAGATACATCCTAGTTTCCCTAGGTACAAGTTAAAAATAGTTTTTATCTTTTGGTTTATTAAGCGAGAGAATAGTCTAGAGGATTAGGCGTCGCCATTATTGTAAGCCCTATCCTTTGTCTACATATGGTGATTTTGTTATAATAAAACTCTCCTCTCCTCCTCACCTGTTGACGTAGGCTATAGTGCTGAACCACATAAATCTTCTTAGTGTTTGCTTTTGTATTCGGTATTTAGGTTGCGTATTTTGTGGACTCGTCTGATTAATCTAATCTAATCCAATTGTTTACTTATATACCCTATATATGGGTTGAAGTTGTTAAAATAGAATTATGTTGTTTGATAGTGCTACTAATGACACAATTATGTATTTTTTCCAGAACATGATAAACTTTCAGGGTTAGTTTTTTTTAACTATTAATTATATGTCGACACCACTTTTCAGAAATCCTGGATCCGCCACTGATTTCAGGCTTACTCTTTTTCTTGTTGTTTATCTATGTTATATCACAAATGCATGCTCTGTGCTGATGGTGGCAGTTCCTGTATGGCTGGTCTTTACTATTACAAATATTTTAATGCACCTTTTTTGGTGGTTTGTCTATTTGAGCTGTAGTACACACATAAAAATTATATCTAAGCAACAATCTCCTTGACAACACACTAGCCCCCCCAAAAAAGGAACAATCTCCTCGACAAGGTACTGTTGAGGCCCCAAGTGCTTTGGTAGGAATGCTAGTCGCAACTAAAGGTTATTGCAACATGCTTGATAACGATTGAATTTAGGGACTATCATGTTCAGTGTTTGACGATTTAGCTAAGGTATTATGGATAGGCACAGCCTGAGCTTATAATCTGTGTATGAAGTCAAATACACTATAGGTAAAGCAGCAGCATCAATGTGTTTGCTTCTTTTGTAAAGTCGAATAGGATATTAGGATTCAAGGGACTCAAAACTATTGATTAAAATCCTAGCCGATAGAATAGAATAAAACCAATTCCCAACAAGATCAACAACCGGCGTGCCCAAGAACCCTTAATAGTCACTGCCATAAGCAATGGTGCCCTGATGTATCCTTCTCGTTTCCAGTTAGAGGTCAGAATGTTGTCTATAGCCTGTGATTCTTTGTCCCGCCTATTTTGATGCTTGTATCTACAGAAATTATTTGCAAGGGTTACATTGTAGCGATACCCTTGTTATTGGTTCGATATGCGTCGCTCTAAGAAGCAGATTGTTCTATTGTCTCTGTTGATGTCAGTGACACTTGATAGGAAATGACAGTTGACAAAGAGTGATGGTCTTTATCGCATTCTTCTTGCTCTTACCTAGGTTTTATCTTTGTCGACAGAACATAATTAGAACATCACATGTAACAAGTCAAGCTTCAGGCCTTTTGCGAGTTTCATTGGGAAGTAGTGGTGGGCTGTTCTTATAGAAAATTTAAGATGAAAAACAAATTACTCAGTATCAGTTATTTTGGAGGCTTGGAGCATAGTCAGTAAGCTAAGCAATGCTGAATGATAACAGTTTGATAAGGGTCGATTAAAATCGTCACCGAGAAGTCCAACATCCCTTATCATGTTCTACCTGATAATCACATTTTTTATGAAGTTAGTTAAAGGAGCTAGTGTTAACCAGGATTTTTGGACGCTAGAGACAGATTGTAGATGCAATTACTTTTTTTATTATTTAAAGCATAGGGGCATTAATTGATAGTTTTCAGGGGGCAGAGAAGCAAAGTTCCAAACTTTTGAAGGTACAGAGACAAGAGCCTATTTATTCCAAACGTAGGAGTGGAAATGTAAAAAAGAAATGTCAATTTAGCATAGAAATTTTAAAATATAAAATAGCTACCTGATGCGCAGAAAAATGTAGTAGATAGCGGATGACCCGCGCAACTTGTTTATCAGCATCACCTCTGGCGCTGACATTTTGAAGATGATGAATTGCATAACAATCCCTTATCCCCTCTCATGAGTTGAGCAGTGATAAGCGCTCGAACGAGCTGAGGGGTGATAAGTACCGATGGTGTTAGGCTAAGGGGGGTTATTTGCAAATCTAGCAATCATAGGAAGCCTACATCTACACGTTGTGGCTACAATGAAGACGTCCATTTTGCGTCGTCATTGAACTGTATCTATTTTGCGTTGTCATTGAACTGTATCTATTTTGCGTTGTCATGGAAATAATCCAACAGACTTTAACAGCTGCTAGTGCTGTGTCAATTGAGAAAAAAAGCGCCAACTTCGGTTCGTTTCTGTCCCGGAGAACCTAGACTGCACGGCTTCTCAAGGGAATCTAGAGCACGAATCTTTTCAGAACAAACCCTTTACGAGAGTGTTCTGGTTTGCACCGTGAGCAGATTAATTAAAATCTCCGAATTAACCCTCTAACCATCTGTGAATGGTATAGATTACTCGATTCTATTGGGTGTTCTGATAGAACCTTTACTTCGGAAGTCCACGTCTAATTCATATATTTCAGAGAGTGAGATATCTTCAAGGCTAGGTACCATGTTTAACTGAAAATAAAGCCATAATAGCGGATGGAGCGAAGATATTTTGTTAATTCTTCGTTATTTTTAAGACTGCATACCATGTTAAACTGACAGTTAGTTATCCAATAGGTTTTTGAATCTCAAGATTAGCAACTTTTTTTGTGAAATTTTTTTTTGGGGGTCTGAATAATCCAATCTACGTGCAAGAATAAAAGTGTAAGGCAAAATATTGCATGCCCCTTGTATTATGTGGAGATATGTGATCCATGCCGGCATTGGAGGATCAAATTGTAAACTCCGGCCAATCAGAAATTAATATGAATGAAAAATAATATCAAATTATAACTCTAATCAACTATAACATGATATGGGTGAAATTAGAACTATAACATAAGAAATGCAAACAAAATACTTTTCTAGAGAGAACATATCCAATTATATTATCCCTTTGAAAGCTCTGTATAGGATTCGACACAACATATTTTGACGGAAAAGCTCTGTACAAGATTCTGTACCTTTCTCATTAATCAAAATGGTTACACCGAAAGTAGAAGTTTAATAAATCTATTCTTTTATACAAATGAGAGAAACAAAGAGTCACTGTTTATGCTACAGTAAATGCTACAGTAGATTTACTGTAGCAGTATTACTGTAGCAGCTGAGAAATTTAAAAGGCGCTGTAGCAGATCGGTTACTGTAGCAGGTCGGGAATGACACTGTAGCAGGCGAGTTACTGTAGCACTCCAGAAAATTCAAACCGGGCGAGTTTAAAAACATCAGGAACACTGTAGCAAAAAAAAAAAAAAAACCGTGCTGCGCACGGGCTGCACACTAGTAAAGAAGGAAAAAACAAAGCCAAGGGCGCCATGCACTCCCGATTAACCAAGTTTTCGGATCTGGATGCGTCCAAAACTCCGAATCCAATCTTCAATTTTCCGATTTTCCGCAAACTCAGATGATACATGATAACCTCATTACTAAACCCCGATAATCTTCAATATACTACTTCGATCAAAATTATTTATTATTTAACCAATGATTATTATTATTTACTTTAAATAAAGATGATGAACAATATTTATGAGAAGCGAGATGATAATCATACCCAGGACAAATCAGTATCACATAGTTCGTAATTTAAGGAATAACCCTCTTTGTCGTTAAATAAGAAATATGAGGTATCCGCAGAAATTTTTTATTATTATAATCTAGTCTGAAACCGAACCCAATACCGTAGCAATCATATCGGGACCTCCCAACAGTTTGGATTAGCCCGTTCGGTTATCCACGTAAAATCAATACAACTGTTAATATCTTGTTTAATCATTATTACTTTTTTTGATAAGAATAGCACTAATTAATTAGGGCATCTCCAACAGCTTCTCTAAAATTTTCTCCAAATTGGGGAAACAAAAGTCATATTCTCCAAATTATTTTTACACCAACTCCAACAACTTCCCCATTTTGAAGAATCCATTTTTTCCTTCAAAAATTTGGAGAATGTTGCAGATTTGGGGAAGCTTCCCCATTTTTTCTCCTCCATCTCTATTTTGGGGAATGAGATGAGGAATCTGTTGGACCAAAAAACTAACTAAATTCTTTAAAAATGGAAAATGTGAAAACTGTTGGAGATGCTTTTATACTATGGATACCATGTGATCAAAACCCATCATAGACGTGAATAATTTGCATGAGATTTAGAGAGCGAAATCATGAACTCGAGCTGCTCAGGGGTAATGGTTCAAGTACTACCACCAAAGCTCGTTCCTCCGACTTCGACGAGCAACAGGAGGAAGAGGACTTCGCTCAAGCGACCAAAACCAGCAACAGCTCGTTGCGCTGCCGTCAACGACGCCAGCTTCAGCAATCAGCGGGTCGACACCGAGACGCTGAGGGCCCAACTCGACCGACTCTACGCCGAAGCCGAGACGACTCGGTCCAGAGGTTTTTCCTTCGATTCCTGGTGAATTAATTGGAAAATTTGATTGAAATGGCGAACTGGGCCAGGCTTGAAATTATCATGAGTGTGAGAAATGAGCGTAGGTTTGGATGATAACGATGTGGGGGTTTTGTTGTTGTACACTATGTGTGCATGCCTGCCATCTGTTTGATGATTTGTCTCAATGAACCGCTGTTAATTGTTGTTTGGTTGTTGTTCCAGCAACTAACGCGAGAACGAGGCTGATGCGGTTGTCTGAGGCAGCAGAGAATCTACAGAAGAGGGCGGCTAATAGCGTCTTGGTTGGTAAGGAAACTGAGGCTAGGGGGTTACTTGTAGAAAAGAAGAAGTTGATGCAAGCCTTGGAGAAATCAAAGAACCGCATCGATGTGCTTGATAAGCTCGCGGTCAAGATTAATGAGGTCACGCTCTTTATCCTACATACATCCTCTTAACAAGTTGCCTCTTTTGTTGCGTACTTCGCGGGACACTCCAAAGCTTGGGTTCTTTTCCCCCCCCTCCAAAGTTCAAGGGGGGTTTTCTCCAAAGTTTGGGTTCTTTTGTTGCGTACTTTGCGGGACACTCCAAAGTTTGGGTTTATCTCCAAACACCCCCAAAGTGCAAGGGGGGTTTTCTGAATTTAACCTGAATCTGTTGCTTCGGTAGAGGCTTTTGGTTTTCTGAATTTAACCTTAATCTGTTGCTTTGGTAGAGGCTTTTATCATAATTTAATGTTTTAAGATTATGACAGATGTATACATGGTTTCAGGCAATTTCTATGAAGGAAGCGCAACTAATTGGAAATGTTGCCATTTACTCTGAATTTTCCGAAGAAGAGTCAGGTCATCAAATTCGATTCGTGAACCCGAAGGTAGACAGTGATGAAGATCCGAAAGAAGCCATAGGGGAAATTGACGAGCAAGAATCTGAAAAGAGTGAAGAAAACCTGCTCAACGATCTTGAGGACGCTTCAGACTCCGAAGATTTGATGAGAAATTTGAATGGAGCATCCTCTTATGAGGAATTTCTTCAATACGTAGACGGCAAACTTCAGCAGGTGGAATCAGAGCTTGATATGTTTTTAAGGGTCTCAACCTTGATACTTGACAGCGAACAGAAACAGATGAACACTAAGGTGCAGCAAACATCAGGACTTTTGAAAGATATACACAGCATTAGAGAGAGGTAAATTATTCAAGGATATGTAATCTCCGATGATTTTGAATTTTGAAGTTGAAATACCTTAATTTTATTGATATGAACTCTTGTTTGTTCATGAAACTATGTTCTATGCCTCTCAGGGTTGCAAGCATCATCAAGGCCCAGACAGATCGCAAAGCAAACGGGGGCCATTTTACAAATACAAAGATCTGAGGGGTAAATTTGCAAATATGGAATAATTTTTGAATCTATGTGCTAAAAGGCCCCTAATCTTTTTGAGTGGTGTATGTCTTCATTCCTCTTACATTCGAGATGAGATTGCTTTTTCTTTTTATCTGTACCTTGCTTTTCTTGCTTTTCCTTTTTAGCTGTATCTAATCAAAAAATGTATATTGCTATATCATCAGCCTACCACTGTCATCATGGAAAAACCAGAGGCTCAAAAGAAACTGATTTTAGAGAGAGAAAAACATCAAGTAAAATAATTACTGATAAACTGTCGATTTCTTACAACTGATAATTGAGTAGAAGGTGTCAAAATATAATGTTCTGATTTCTTACAACTGATAAGTCGTCGATTTCTTACAACTTATAAACGTGTATCATGCAGTAGGAGGGGACACCTCACCTGTCTTCTCCCCATGTCCCATATTTGGGATCCTTTTGGCATTCCCCTCTAATTTCCACCATTCCAAAATATCAAAATCAACTGCATGCTCATCAGCAATTGGACCATCTTCTCGTTCAAAATAAAGGTCAAGATCATTAGCACGCTTGGTTTTTAATCTTCTACTACGCTTGGTTTTAAATTTCCACAACCTTCTAGTTTTCCTCGTGGATCCATAACGGTCGCAAAACAATATAACAAGGGTATCTTTTCGTAATATTTTGAATGAATTTTGTTCCATTGACTTGACAACAGTTCCGAGCTTTCTATCACCTCGATGTAATTTAAAACATCGAGTTATATTACACAAATATATAAGAGCTAAATGTGTAGTCGCGTGATAGGTACAAGATAAATTTTTACTAGCATCTTCGAATACTTCTAATAGTTCTGTAAACTTTTGTGCTACATACCAATCATCATCACTAATAAAACCTGAAGCATTTCTAATTTTTTCTACATGTGAATTAGTTTGAACTAAACCATTTTTTACACAAAGACTAATAAAATGACAAATACAATGAACATTAAATAAATTACCATCTAAAACAGGATTTAAAGCGCCCTTTAAATGATCTATTGCCACATTACTACTGGATGCATTATCAAATGAAGCATTAAAAATTTTATCATCTACTCTATAAGCTTTAGCTATTTTTCCATAGCTTGATCACCTCTCCACTCATCAAGAGGAAGAGGGGAAAAAATCAAGAACTTCTTCGCCCTTGGCCCAATGGCTATAAGGAGATGTAACGTTCCCGGCCCGGCCCGGCCCGGTAAGTAAGATCAAATCCCAATCTATAACAGCCATCATCGGAGCTTAGCGGGAAACTAAAAGTACACGTGTCCGCTTCCTAACCACGAAATGAATAGATTTGGAACGTGGCTGAGATCGAAGTTATTCTTGGCCCTCTCTCTCTCCCCTCTTTTGCAAAGGTTTCGATGATGGCAGCGCTGGCGACGGCTCTCCGATCGGTGATGCAGAGAGTTCACCGGGCGGCGGAGAAAGCTGGCAGGCAATCGGAGGAGGTGAGGGTCGTCGCCGTCGGCAAGACGAAGCCTGTGTCTCTTGTTCGCCAACTGTATGATACCGGTCATCGATATTTTGGGGAGAATTATGTTCAGGAGTTCATCGACAAGGCCCCTCAGGTTCCCTACTTTCTATGTTGATGTGGATTTGATATTCAGTTTCATCAAGATAAAGAACAATTTTTATACTTTACACATGAAATGCTGTGAGCTATTTTACTTAAAACTTACATTAAACAGAGAAAAGCTTCTGTGAGGATAGAATTTTAGCTTTGTATCCTCGTTGTGGGAACAAATTTTCCTCACTACTTCATGGACAAATTTTCAAAACTAACCCTTTTGTAACTTTATTTTTAAAAATCGACGTATTTATCTTTTATTTAGCATTTTCAATTGGATCGAAAATGCTAAATAAGATTTACCTGTTCTTAATTATGTGCAAAACTTCACAGGATTCTAAATCCCATGAAGTTTTAGCAATTTATTTAGCATTTTTGACTAAGTTTCAGCTAGCTGATTGAAACTAGGTCAAAAATGCTAAATAAATCTCAAGCAAATCGATTTCTAAAAATAAATCTAAAAAAGAGTTGGTTTTGAAAATTTCTTCCTATTTCATTATTCTTCCCCAAACATTTTTGATGCTTAGATTAAGATATATTATTATATATATGTTGATTGCATTCCTTTGCCTACCTGTTTATATGCTTGTATCATGCCTTGGAAACAAATCTAATTCTCTAGACAAAAAGATGTCCATACTGAGCTTTTATAAAAAAAACCTTGCAAACAAAATAAAATATTGATACTTTATTCATTATAAAGAAGCTCTAATTGCAGAAAACTTTACCTTTATATAGACCATGGAACATAAACAACAAAACTTTACCAAATTAGAACGGGAATAAATAAGAAAATTTTAATTTCCTAAACAAGAAACAGCCAAAAGACTTTCAAATGTTTGCTAAAAATTGTAAGAAATCATTAAACCTCGAGTATTTGGAGACATGGAAATTGTTTCCCTTTTTACTTCTATTTTTATTAAGACAATGAGAAATTCATTAACGTCAAATAAAACATCTAACTTAAAAGAAATATTAATATCTGGCTTAAAAGTCTTTTGACCTGACACAGTCTCTATCTTGTTCTTGTAATGATGAAGATGATATAGTTTAGTTTCATCAACACTTAAAAAGTTATATTCATGTAACTGGGTCGTCGTGTCAATGATATGAACTAAATATCGCGCTAGGTGTTAACACCTTCTATTTTGCCTGTTTCTTTTGCACCCAATAACAAAATAGGACATATACCTGACTGTGGAAACTTTACATACATTATAAAGTTGCACAAAAAACATACTAATTAAACTTTTGACACGTTTTCTTGAGGATAAACCTTACTATTTATCTTGCAGCTCCCAGCAGATATTCAGTGGCATTTCATTGGACACCTGCAAACCAACAAAGTCAAAACCCTTTTAGGTACTTCTAGTGAAATCTTTAAGACTTATTAAAACATTTTTATTCATATCAAAGTTATATGATTTCACTGGACTTTTCATCATATTTTAAGTGGTTACCGAGTTTATCTGAATAAGGAGATTTAAATTTGTAAAGGGAGCTTTTTACTGTTTTCTGGTAAGCTTGTTAACTCCAACTCTTGCTTTTGCTTACTTCCACTCTGCATTCAGTGCAAATTATTTCTGATCAAGGTTTTAGTAATTTCTATGCCTCTTCTTACAATATCAGCATAAAAAAAATTGACAATGCATATCTTGAATTTCTTTTATTTTTGATATATTTAATAAAAATGAAAAAAAAAACAGTGTCGTGTGTATTGTAAAGAGGAAAAAAGTAGAAACATATATGTGAAAGAAAGTAGGATGTTAAAAAGTGCAGCTTCACAGGAACAATTCTGATTTATATTTTTTAATCTGTCTCTTAATATATATATTCCTGTTGATGATTTTATGTGCTCAATAATTTGAAGTCTTTTTTGCAGCTGCTGTTCCCAATCTCGACATGGTTGAGAGTGTAGACAGTGAAAAGGTAAAGAACCTGTTCTACTTTTTACTAGCCCTTTACAGGAATTAAATTTTGCCTTGATGGGTGGGTGGGTTTTTTTGTTTTTCAAACAAAAAAGTGCATCTTTTTCAAACAAAAAAGCAAGTTATCTTATTTCATTTTTAAATATTAGAAAACCCAATCACTACTATTGCATACATAGTGCAAGTGGATGGATAACAACTATGATGCCTATAGAATATATCATAAGATGGTGAGTAAGCAATCATGAAGAAAAAGTGTTCCGTACTTCCTGAAGAATGCTCTCAGCAACACAGCAGCTCATTCAGGTAGTACAAAATTTTTAGGGATATCTTCATTGCTTTAAGTAGAGAAACTGTTGATTTATTGGGTATTAAAGAACTGCCAGCAATCAGTTTTTCTTATGGCAGATAGCTAATATGTTATTTTCCAATTTTTTTTTTACTTATGCTTGCTTTCTCCACAGAGGTATGATTTGCTTGCTGCATGCACTCAATAGTTGGAAATCTAGCTACTAGCGACCTACTATACTAAAAACTATATGGTAGTTCATTTCTAACTGATTTGCTCATTTCTACGTCCTAAAATTACATTAAAAAATAGTTTTAGGCCTTCTCTGTTCCCTCTGAAGCCTTTTGGTTTCTTAACCCCCTAAATTTTGTCCTTGACATCAGTTCCATACTCCTATTCCGTTTGAATTCAACAAAACTTATGACTTGAATTTTTTATTGTGTTCAAAGTTGAGCAGTTAAATTTGTTAAGAAGTTGCCTAAATTTTGGCAGAAACCACACAATCACAGCATATTCATTTTCACTAAAATAATGTACTCTAGCAATTCAACCCTTTCAGCTAGCTAATCATCTTAATCGTGCGGTTGCTACCATGGGGAGGAAAGCTCTTAAAGTTTTAGTCCAAGTAAATACAAGTGGAGAAGAGTGTGAGTATTTGTTTTGCATCAGTAGATAAATGGAAGCAAAGGTTTAATACATGGTTTTTTTGCTATAATCACTAGCACGTGTTCCAACTGATCTTTGAATGATCTTCATCTTTGCAGCAAAATCTGGTGTAGATCCCTCAAATTGTGTAGAATTGGCTAAGCATGTTAAACTAGGATGTCCGAACCTTGTTTTCTCTGGTCTGATGACAATAGGGATGAAAGACTACTCATCAACCCCAGAAAATTTCAAGGTTATGTTTCTTGAACATTAAGCTATTTTAGCTATACTCTAGGCACACATATAAACTAATATTAATCACATATTCTTGAAGTGCAGGCATTATCAAATTGTAGAACCAATGTGTGCAAGGCTCTAGGGATTCCAGAGGAATCGTGTGAACTATCAATGGGCATGTCTGGAGATTTCGAGCAAGCAGTAAGAAATACTATAGCCTTATTAATCTAAAAGATTGATCCTGACTGAAGTCTTGTGTTTGATTGAATTTGTTCGCTGCAGATTGAAATGGGGAGCACAAATGTTAGAATTGGTTCCACTATATTTGGACCACGGATGTACCCTATGAGAAATGAAAACTAATGACCTACGACTTTGTCATAGTATTGCTCAATATGGGCTGTATATAGTAATTTGTTTTGGTAAAATTTTGATGAGTTTATATATATATTATCTGTGTTGTAACTTGTAAATAGTGACAACATGGTATGTCAAGCACGAACTAAGTTATTTGACAATTGCATGCTCTATGTTGCGGTGATCATTGTCGGTGTATAAATATTTAGAGCAAGATGACACTTTCTACACATATTTCTTTCTTTTCCTATTTTTCATTTTGAGTTTCTTCACATCGCATATAAAATCAAATGTTTGGGTAGTAGTTTTCACAGGTTGTATTCAATCTATACAATTTATATGCACATTTGAAGTGTTTAAGCTCAGGCCTTGGCTACAGCTTCTCCTATAGATACGTTAATTGGAACTGTGAATTGGAACAAAAAATGTAGTGGCAACTACAAAGTACTTTTGGCATATATAAAAGCAAAAACAACAGGTTTATAAGAAGCAGATATCAACATATAAAAATGAACAGAAGCTGCCAAAAATAATTGCAAGTGATTGAAATGTTGCTCTTACTCTATACGATTACTGAAGAGGGGATGTGAATGTCGAGTTCGTCCAGTGTTGGATGCTTGTGGAGGCTCAAGTGGTGCTCGTTGGCCAGGTGTAAGAGACAAATGAAGAACAAATGTGGCGAGATGTCCCTGGGTAAAGAAGTTATGGGGCAAGAATCACTTGAAAATTGATGCAAAACTTGCTTGAAGGAAACAGTCACCTCGATTCCCTGTTACAAGAACATCGCAACCCATCAGTATCCACTATTATTGCATGAAAAAACGGAACAGAGATGCAGGAAGCATGTATTGAATTTAATATCCAAAAATGGAAAAGAAAAACAGGAGAACATTGCAGGTATTGAAACTAGAAATCTAGTGGAGTTCATCTGGATATAAACCTCCTTAAGATCAACCCAGATCGGCTATTTTACACAACCTAAGAGTTGAGTGTTACTACCATGTATAGTGGTTAGAAAAATTCGAAACGAAGAGTTATTTAGCACACAACATTAAATAGAAGGGAAATAACACAATATCCTATTTGAATGCAAAGTAGAAGAGAAAATGACTATACTAACCACATCAGACATCTGAATTGATTCTTGTATGTTGCTCCAAAGCACATCTTTTAGGACATGAACATCAACTTGTTTCGGTACCTTGTCGTACTGTATGTCAACTTTGTTTACCTAAAATTTTCAAATACAAAAAAGCATCAGTATTATGGTTCTCTTCATCTGTCAGTAGGGAATTATCTGGAACCTCTTACACACGAAGAAAAATCAGCAGAGGAAAAAAAAGGTGGCAAAAAGTATCTAGAATTTCTGAACAATGCCAATAATCCTAAGTATGAGCAATGTGTCCTACAAGTTATTATATCATTACTTGTTATACTGTTCAAAAGGAAAAAATATCATGTTTGATATGTTTTTGGAATCCACATTTACACAGTAACACTTACAAATGCTCTTAACATTTACAATGCATATTGGAATCCACATATACACAGTAACACTTGAGGGGGATGACTGATTACCCACATATACACAGTAACACTTGAGGGGGATGACTGATTACCCCTAAGGAAACAAACCAATAGCTGTCGTCTAACCTTTTCCATTATGTCAGCTATGAAGTGAAATGCTCACTCTATTTCATAAAGAAGTTTATGCATGTGAAGAGAAAAAAAAATTACTTGAACTTTAAATAACGTATGGTGCGAGCTAAAGTTACTGGTCTAATTCCTTGTATGAAAATGTTTGCATAGATGAACCTGGAATTTCAACAATATCTTATGCAAGCTATAAACATAGTTCTACTTCCTTGTATGAAAATATTTGCATAAATAATCTGTCTACAAGTCCTCTTGGTTTCCACGAATGCAACAATTTTTATCTGCCCAACAAAATATAAAAGCCACAATCATACATTTCACTGATGTTAGGTGCCATAGCTACGTCATATAAAAAGGTTTCCACCAAACAATCTTAACCTGAATAATCAAATTGTACATGTAGACAGATGGCGTGCTTTCCAGACATAGAATGAAAAATGTTGATGGGCCAATTTTATTAAAATAAATTAGTGTTCAAGCGAGGTTCAAACCTGACGTGGCGGGTGAACAAGATTTTCCAGATCTTCCCTATCGCTACTATATGCTGGATAATCAGAGTTGTCATTTCTCGTATTTTCATCATCACATGAAGCAAATGGAATAAAGTTGTCATATTGCATTGATTCATCTGTAAAATATGAAACATGATACAAATTGTTTACTTCAAGCAATTCAGGTGAAAGGAAAATCATAGATGATTTGCCACAATTCAAAAGAAAGTCAGAAGACAACTTAAGTTTCAAAATTTTCCTTCTTTCCCCTTAATAAACATCTATCGTCTACCTTTCTCAAACAAAAGGTTGATCATAAGATCATGAAAAGGGAATCAAATAAAATTTCATATGTGGATTCTCGTTTAAAGTACTTAGACAAAACTAATGTTTGTTATAGATTTTAAATTCAAAAGCTGGCCTTTAAATTTTCATTTACTTCAACGGTCGATTGCATTTCAATTTACTACTGTAATTGTTTGAGGAGGTTTGTGGACAATATTGAGCAAGAACAAATGAAGAAAAAAAGGAAGCAGAGGAAACATATGTTTTTGTCATAATTAGGTCAATGGAAAAGATCTCATCTCACAGCATAAGGTTAATATTTTCCAGGGATTCCTTTTGAAGTGATCATCACTGATAACATAAAAAATTAGATACTAAATGTATCGTCCCCCAAAAACAACAGGAAACCACCACAACTGATAGATGCATCATTAAAGTATAAATATCAACTGCACAAAAGCATAAATAAAATATATCTACAATAGAAACAGCAATGCAAACTTGACATAAAAAACTTGCGTATTTTGAGATTTTGTAATAGAAATTAGGTAGAACAACTTGCCGGATATTTTTCTTGCTTTTTCCCCAAGACGCTACAAGAAAGAAAGTCAGACACAAGTTGTCATACAGCAATAAAAAGATACGAGGCTAAAAAACTATTTTGGGCACTTAGTTTACCATAAAACCGGGAAGAAGAAACAGCCTGACAAGATTTTCTGGTCTATAGTGGCAATCTTCTGGAAGTTTAGTAATGCAGGGTGACCTGTTTGCCGGTAAGATCAGTGATTTTGGACTTTTGGGGGATGCAAAAATGTTAGGCATCTGCATGTCCAGAGATTTTGTGAAATCAATATCAGGCACTCCCTTTTTTATCTTTGGCTCCTTACTTGCTAGTTCTGATTCATTTTCATTATCTGAGCATGGCATTTGTTCTAAACCTACAGCAACACACAACTAAGTACTCGCACAAATAAAAAGGCAATAGAGTGAAGAGTTTGTTTCTAGTCATACCTTTGGCCTTCCGATACTTCCAATGATCAGGACCTGCCCAAGCATTTGATTTTGAAATGAATCCCAAGCCTAGAATAAGCAAATCAGAATTTTTTTCAAGTTTCTGATCTATTAAAGGATTCCCAATTACACATTCACCATTCCCCTATATCACAATAAGTTTCGTTAGATAAAATCAAATATATGATGTAGGGTGCATGAAACATACATCTGAATGCCTACTAAAATTTGCATCTGAAGTACTTAAGCCGTCAGTTGGATCATTGACACCTAATCTTGCATGATCATCGCGACCAAAATTCCACCACTCAAAATCGTCAAATGCATCACTTCCTGCTTCAGAATGGTCACTGTTATTTATTTCTTGAACCAGTGGCTGTTGTGCTGCAGGAAGTACATCTGATGACCTACAATTGTTTTCGCCAAACTGACTCAAAATATCCCTTAAAGTTGGAGAAATATCACTTTTTGCATGCATGTGTACTATCATCTGTTCAATGTTTTCTGCAAAGAAGAATTAGAATGTAAGGAGAGAGAGCAAGAAAGAAACTACCTAGAATTTAACACATGGGATAGCAAAATTGTTTCGTTAAATAAGATATTGTAGTTGTACCCTTAGCAAATGAAAGGTCTATTATATTAGCGTGATGATACTCCGGTTCAGATAAAATGGTCTTCTCTGGTAACTCGAATAAATCAAACAGCACACAACAACCACCATAAACTCCAAAGTTGTTTAACAAAAGACCCTTGGCTCCCCCTTCATCAAATTGAGCTGATGTTTGATGATACAGAGGATCCACAGTAAATGCCACTGTAATATGAAATCTAATATTAATGAAACTCGAATAACTATGATGCAGGATATATAAATAAATAAATAGAACTGTTGAGCAGGGATATAACACAAGTTAGTACCATCAAACTTCTTTATATTGAGGGCTTCAAAAGAAGGTTCCACTGTAGTTAAAGGTGACAACTGCATGTAATACATGAGTTTGGCATGGAGCATTGGCATGTAAGTCTAATTGATTAACCACAAAATTTATATACCTTCCTGTCCAAATCCTTCTTAGCAAATCCTTGTACTTGCTTAGTCTGTGTATGATCGCCGGCACCCATGTTTCCTGTAGTAACATAACGATAGTACCGGGCAATGAAGGATTTTGTATGTTAACATTTTAAGACAGAGGTAAAGTTGTGGATAAACACCAAAATTTGAATAACATAGGAGATAAAATAATATACGAGAATTTTCATTGATGAGCAACCTTTTCGTAACCATAATTTAACCCAAAAAAATTATTTTCTACTGGTAGTTGCATATGAGATCAGTAAACTGAATAATAATTAAACTTGATCATGATATACTTGAAGACAGTTCATATGGCACAGAGATGAAATCAGGAAAAGGTGATCAGAACCTACCCCTACAATGAACCTTTGTAACTGTGAACCAATAAAATCATGCTGTTTGTTCCTCATACATAAATCTCCTTACATCCAGTTAGTTAGCTTTTCCTCTAAACTCTCAGATAGGATTGTTTTGGTTGGTTGTAATTGTATCGATCCATATTCTTTTACGATTCTTGCACTCTACAATCATGGTATTGCAAACCCAAATCAGTTGTTTGTTTGTTGCACTCAACTCTCCCTAGACCCAGTTAGTGAACTATTACTCTGAACTCTTGAGCTCTAAAAGTGAAAATAGGCAAGAAGCTCCAGGATTTTAATGGTTATTTATTCGAAGCAAGGTTTGCTTCTTGCAGCTCAGCATGTAAAAGAACATGCTCTCAAGGGTGAACTAGTCATTAAAAGATTGCACGTTTATCACCAGGGAATATTGCCAGGAAATTCTGTCTATTATTTCTATCATTTGTGAACAAACGTGTGAACAATATCTCAGGAACTTACAATGGAATGTTTCTTTGGTAATCAATTCAAGGGTAAACTAGTCATCAAAGGTTTAAATTTTAAATGGGGCATGTTATCAGAAAAGTCCACCATTCCATATCGATTATTATCAGTAACTAGTGGATTAATGTGTGATCAAATGTCGTAAGGATTTGATGCTTCTTACAGTAGCTGTGAGCCTTGCTTATGTACGCCCAAGAAAAGGTTCTAGTTATATTTCACTTGCATTCTATGAAACTTGCATCTGTATTCTGCCTGTTTAATGTTGGATTAAGCTGGAAACTAATTTCTCGTCATGGACTTAGATTTGTTGATACCATGGACGTGCAAACAGGCAGACTTTATTGTTGTATTTATACCTAAACTTCAGGAACAAAAAATTGTGTTCCTGAAAGGGGGAAGTGAAATTACTCATGACTAGTAAAGCAGAATTTATGCCTTAAAAGACTGTAAATAGAAAGCTAACCCCCAATTTCTTCTTGCCCGGCTCTATTGATCCATCCAAGGACCTTATACGCCTCCGAATACACCGAATCCACTCGCAACGAGTATATCTTCACTCCAGCTTCCAAAGTACAACTAGCCTTTTAAAAAAAAACTAAGCTCGCATCATCTAACTTTACCAGATTAAAAATAAAGAAGAAATAAAAAATGTCACCTTCTGGAAATTGGTCTCGTCGCCTTCATCCCTAGGCCCAGCCCTAATAATCTCACTGAGATGGTCAATCAGCGTGAGCTGCCACATGTTCTTCTGGTTGATTTTCTGAAAATTAAAAAAAAACTCTAATTTCATCACGTAACCAAAACTAGAAGAGAAATGATGAGATTTTTAAGTAACAAACGTTTTCGCTTGCGAGCTTGACGCAATTCTGGAAAAGATCCATGATCTGATCATCGTCCAAGAACCCATGATCCTCTGGTTGTCGAAATGGCGGAGGAGTAGGGGAGAAGGCGGCGGATCGGCGGCGGACGGAGGCTGCGATCGCCGCGCGTGCCTGAGCTCGTTCGTGATCATCGTCGTTGGATACGAGAGGGAAAGGTTTAGGGCTCAAGATTGGGGATTGGAGTCGAGGGGACATTGGAACCCTAGATCGATGAGTTCATCGTTACGATTTTCGTTTTAATTTGTTTTCCCCCCTAGGGTTTGGCTTGTTGAAGAAGCTGAATATTTGGGGAGGGAAGGGAGCGGGTGTTTTGATTCTTGGTTCCTGCGGTTCTTTTTCCCTCTCTTTTGAAGTGGTTTGAAGTTTTGAACTTCGATTTTCTGATGGCGTTATGGGCTTCACCGGTCGCCCATTTATAAGCCCAGATTAAGGGGCTGGTTTGTTTGCTTATAGTGCACGTGGGGAGATAAGAATGGGCCAGGCCTTTAAAGCGATTTCTGTTGGCGTCAAGTCCACTCGAAAAGAAGGGCCCACAGACTCGGTATGTTGGCGTTTGACCCTACGCGGGTTCTGGATTTTAAATACGATTTTCTTTCTTCTCATAGAAACCACCCGGTCACTTTACACAGACAATCTTTAATTTTCAATTTATATATAAGTCATTTTTAAAGTAGATTTTTATTTTAATCAAATATTTCTTGGTTAAAATTTTCACTGAAAATCTAAAAATGCTCTTAAAACTCACATTCAAAATACATAACACACATTCAATGCCCTTAAAACTCACATTCAAAATATAGAACTCACTTTATTAATGCTTAGATCTAGCACGATAAAACTCACGTACTTTGAACGTGCTTTTTTTAAAAAAATTATTTTTAATTTTTAGTAAAAATTTGGTTAGGGAATTATTGATTAGAATGTAAATCCACCTTAAAGACAATTTACACAATAATTAAAAATAAAAAGTGCTCTTTTGTAAGACTCACACCCCTCCCCCCCCCACCCTTTCAGGTGTTCTAGAAGAAACCGTTTTAATTAAATAAGATAATTATAGAAAGGAAAATGATCCTATAACTTGTTGGAATTACTAAAATCTCCCCCAAACTTTTAGAAAAATAATACTATGCCCTCTCATTTTCAAATTTTCAGTCAAATAATCATTGTAACTCCAACATAACACTTGATATACATATTTACATGGGAGTCTAAAGAACCGTCTCCAACGATCACAGCTTTTGCATACAAGTGAACTTCACAATACACAACTAAATGAGAAAACTGATTTTGAAATAATAGGAGGTTGATGTGAATCTACAAAGCTTATCGCAACAACAACAGCAAAAGTCAGTTTAAAGCATATTAAATTTAATGTAATGAGACGCTTGGTACAAAGTTTTTCTTAAACATATTAGACTACTTAAATCCCAGTGTCTTTCTTATACAGGAGAAGAATTCCTCATTAGGTAGGACACAACGCAACCAAGAACAGCTCCAGCAAAAACCTGCAGAATGTAAGATAAATTAAATGAAATCAAACAAATTGCTGTTGCTGGATTTGAAAACAAACATTCAAGTTTCATATTTTAATAATATAATATTAAAATTTAGGGTTAATTGCACAAAGACCCCTTTGCAGCTTGTTGTTTTAAACCTACTACCCCTATAGTTTCATTGTTGCAGATGGACCCCTAGGTTTCAATTTTTGTCTCTTTTACAACAAGTATATTGCCCATGGGTGATATTACTGAATCTACCCGAAGGCAAAAGAATATAAAATTAAAAAAAAATTACCCACGGGTCTATTTACAATAATAGAACAACAGCATAGTAAGTTGAAAACAGCAATTCTATGCGGGGTCAACGTGCAGTTAACCTAAACTTATATTATCAAGTTTACAAAAAGTGAAACAACATGAACAAATCAGAGGAGTCAATAGAACAGATAAATAATGTATATAGATAATTGTTGCGGTACCAAAATTACCAATATTAAAATTCAACGAAAAATACATTTGCCACGTACCTGGAGAGGAGTGTGTCCAAGAGAATCATGTAAAGGCCTACCGTTAGACAAAGGGTGCTCTGGTGGCAACTCGCACACTAGTTGATTTAGCAACTGCAAACAGAACGTATCACCCAATTGTGAATGTATCCTCTGTAGTTCTATTTGTGGCAAATACCCCCCCCCCCCCCCACACACACCACACACACAACATATGCTCAGTGCGAATACACCCCCCATTAGTGAACTTTTTTCGACTCTTTCAAACTCACAAAAAAGGTCCTATCCTCACAATAGAACTTTTTTTTGGGTTGGGTTGGTTTATTTGGGGGGTTTTGTTTTTGTTTTTGTTTTTTGTTTTTTTTTGGGGTGGGGGGGTGGGGGGGGGGGTGCGGTGTGGTTTCTATTTGCAATTGGATGATTCTACAAGGGGGCTGTTTACAATTAACCCAAAGAAAATTGATTTTCAAATTGCAATTGGATGATTCTACAGGGGGTCTGTTTACAATTAACCCAAAGAAAATATTATTTCAAGACAGTTACCAGATAATTCACTTAAAAATTTTAGTTGACAAGGTTAACACTAATTATCATTTCAAGAAGACTTAATACAGCTATCAATTAAACATCTGATTTTTAATAGAAAAGGCCAACGCCAATTACCATTTCAAGGAAATATAAAATTTTCACAAGTTAACCCACCGATGGAAACTATGACAATCGATTACCATTGCTAGAAAATGATTTCCACTGCACAACATATCAAGGATTAAAGTAAAGTAGTGTGTTGATGGATTTATGCTCAGAAATTGGGTCCAAATATATCCTCCCTCCCAGAGTATATACATCATATAGATATTCCCATTTCAAGTTGCTTAGTTTCTGTCAATTGTGTGAACTAGAACTCTGGATGAAAAGTAAGCAAGGAGCTCTTATACCTCCAATCGTGTGTATTTGTGTATGATTGATGAAGAATTTATTAGATGCTTAAGCTACACAAGTCGTTGAGTAAACACATACAGAGACAATGTCTCCTCACACTTGTCAACCAAAAACGAAAATTATTTACTGGAATAATGATTCACGCAGCTTTAGCACACTGTTTACCTCAGCTTGCCTGCCAGCATGCAATCTAATCCCAGATGCATCATACATTACCTGTAGGATATACTGATCATTAGGTATCAATTAAGCTATGAGTAGCTTTTACTAATTCAAAACTAGCAAACAACAATCAGTAACAAGCAAATTATTCATATTATATAGTAACATAGTAAATAACATGAACAAATTCAACTCCCATTCTCAAAATCAAAGTCATACAGAGAAAGGAACTCATATTTCTTATCATGGGTTTGTAGAGAAGGAAATAATGAAGCTATGAAACAAGAATACTTCCACCCAAGGTTTTAAATGTCGGATGTCGGGTTCATGTTGGACGGCTGAAATCCATGTCGGATAGCGAAAATCACGGATATATCGGGGAACATGGACTAAATATCGGATTGTCATATCAGGTGGTGCACATATGTATAATATCATGTCATAAATGTAATCTAAGCATTCCTAAATTCAATATAAGCATACTTTATAAATTCTAGAGGCGGCGTCGGCGATGGGTGGATTCCGACGTCGCAGTGAGACAGTGCCGGCGACGGGTCGTCGCAAGGAGGCAGTGTTGGGGCTATTCTTCTTCTTCTTCATTTACTCGGGGTCCTTCGGATGAATCACTGACCACCCTCTTCCCTTTATCTAGACGACGAGATACTCTGCCGCCCTCAGGTTCGATTAGGATTCGGATTTCGAGACGCAACGGGAGATGGATAACGGGGGGCCGAGATGAAGGTGGGGGAAAGGCGTCGTCGTTCACGAAAGAAGTGATGGGTTCCCAAGTCCGCTGCAACCCTAATTTTTCTCTTTTCTTTCTATCGGTTTCATAAGAAACCCTTAAACATGAGAACGTGTCAAACGAGTTTGGGTTTTTATCACTAGACCTAAACCCGATAACAAAAAATAGATCACTAAAAAAGGCCGATTTTTCAAAGCTGAAAAATCGCCCGATATGCTCGATATGGCCCCGATATTTCTAATTTGGCTCTGAAAACCGACATACGAGTTGAAAACGCCCATGTCGTGTCGCTCAAACCCTTAAACTGACATGTCGGACATGTCGACCGACATTTAAAACCTTACTTCCATAAGGATGAACCAACATCATACACTTGGATACACCAAACTTAATATGCATTATGGACAATATACTTCCTTTTAGCCTTTTAAAAACTATAATATACTGCAAGGAGGAGATCCAAAACTAAGATTTTAAGTTGATCCTCAAATTCAATCCATAAAATCAAGGTCAATTTCTGAAGGAGATAACGTCAAGGCTAATTTCTGGAGGAACAAAAAGCAAACAGATGGGAAAATAAGAATGTCTTGGCAGCGAAGCTTGCTCATTCTTCAATCTAGGAATCTCAAGCATGACCAAGTGCCCAGTGTTGGCCTTTTTGTTTTGATGATGTTTTAACAATCAATTTATGACTAATATTGGTTGTCTAGTGTTTGTGTTTTTGTATTTATTCTAGACAAATAATTTGTCGGAGGTTGGATGGGATTGAGCCTACACGATCACATCAAATGGAGGTTGGCGAAATATCGGTATGAAGCAATACATCTCAAGTTAATTCAAGATCAAGCTTCATCCGCAAAGTTTACCAAGACAAGCATATTGAAGACCAATCAAGCTTGGGTAAATAAGTTTAAGTGTCTGTCGGATGTTGGATGGAATTGAGCCTACACGATCACATCAATTGGAGGTTGACGGAATATCGGTATGAAGCAATACATCTCAAGTTAATTCAAGATCAAGCTTCATCCGTAAAGTTTACCAAGACAAGCATATTGAAGACCAATCAAGCTTGGGTAAATTAGTTTAGGCGTTATATTATGTGTGTTTAATACTTCAAGCTCAATATCATATACACACACAATTTATTGCTTTATCCATTTTTGGTTTATCCACAAACAAAGTTTTTACAAGAAAATAGATATATATCATATACATACATATTTGTTTTCTTGTAGATAAGTTGTTTTGGCATTATAGATATGAAACAATAGTTATATTCATACACACTTTCACATGTTTCATATTCTATTGTATTTTTGATAAAACATAGTGTTCTTGGTTTATGAACTTGATAATACTAGTTTATATTTTTTTTAAGTCTATAAAGCCATACAAAAGTTTTCAAACTTTTGTTTAAGTCAAAAATCAAATGTTTATATAAACATGTATTTGAGTGTTTTTGCAAAATGATGAGTTTTCACAAATAGAAAATGCAATTTGAAAATTTCTTTTTGTAACATGTTCATTAACATGTTTATAAATATTTTCCAAAGTTTTATATTTTTTAAAATTTATTTGCTATTTTTAAAAGTGCTTTAAAAATCAGATTTAATGTTTGTTTCTGGTTGATAACTCGACTGATGGATTTTATCAGTCGACTGATAAACTCGCCTGGAATTGTCAAAAGTTTCTGTTTTTGTGACTGATAAACTATTAGTCGACCGATGAGGTCTTCAGTCGACCGATGAGCTGTGAGCTGCCTATAACTATCAGCTCATCAGTCGACTGCTATTGTTCATCAGTCGACCGACGGCTTTCCAACGGCTAGTTTTTCAGATTTTTAGGTTTTCGTTTTTGTCTTTTTTCTTGGTTTTTTCTTGGTTTTGGGGCTTGTTCTATGATCCTATATATACCACATATCTTCTAACTTCTAAGGGTAATCAAGGGAGTTTTTAAACAAGTTTAAAGGACGTTTAAAGTTTGTTTAAGTGTGTTTACAAGTCTTGTTTGTGAAGAAATTTTCACAAGAGGAAGAAGAGATCATACATTCGTGTTTGGGCTTTCATCTCATCTCTTTCACTCTTGTTATCATTGGAAAAGTTTTCTAAACTCAATCTCTAGCTATTTATACGTTTGATTATCATTTCCATAAGCTAAACTTTAATTGAGTTTATATTTGATTTTTATTCTTTTTGTTACACACACCCACTTGAGCTTTTAGTATTTTTATACATAGTATATTTAGGGTTATGAGATTGTAACATTGAGTTGGACTTAATTGAGTTCTCACCTTGTTTAGAGAACAAATATTTGTTATTTGAGTTTCATTATGAGATACACTTTGTAATACACTTGTACACAGAGAGAAGTGTGTGGTGAGAGACGGGGTCGATTTTAATAGTAGGATCGGTTCCAAGAGGAGTGGGGTCGATAGTAAAACTTAGAGAGATGGTAATTCCGAACATTTGAGAAAGGTGATACGAGCTAGAGACCAACACTTAGAGGGTGTAGAGTGTGATTGCAAGAATGTGAATTGTGAAAGTTTTTGGTGGGCTAGAAAACCGATATTAAGCGTTTTCGAGTGAGCGTCGAAAACCCGGTTGTGTAATGGATTCTTCCCGGGAATGGAGAGCGGAGACGTAGGTCGGAAGGACCGAACTTCATGATCATTTTCTTGTGTTTGAGTTTGGCTTTGGTGTATTTTTTCTTGTATATTTTCATATCGCTATTGTTGCATGTTTATATCGCCCTTGTTTATATTGCATATCCTTGCTCATATATCTTGTTGTATATCCTCCCTTAGACTTCGTGCTATGATGTCGAGTACATAGACTTTGCCATTGTTACGGGAATAGGCTACCCGGAGACACGTGTAAGGTATTGACTTTAGGATTTTTGGCTAACCCCCAGCCTTCAACGGGTTTGATTAGCCTTTACCGACTACCGTTTGAGTCGGGCTAGCATGCGGATTGTCGAAATCCGTTCCGCATGTAACGTTGTAGATCATACATTCGTGTTTGGGCTTTCATCTCATCTCTTTCACTCTTGTTATCATTGGAAAAGTTTTCTAAACTCAATCTCTAGCTATTTATACGTTTGATTATCATTTCCATAAGCTAAACTTTAATTGAGTTTATATTTGATTTTTATTCTTTTTGTTACACACACCCACTTGAGCTTTTAGTATTTTTATACATAGTATATTTAGGGTTATGAGATTGTAACATTGAGTTGGACTTAATTGAGTTCTCACCTTGTTTAGAGAACAAATATTTGTTATTTGAGTTTCATTATGAGATACACTTTGTAATACACTTGTACACAGAGAGAAGTGTGTGGTGAGAGACGGGGTCGATTTTAATAGTAGGATCGGTTCCAAGAGGAGTGGGGTCGATAGTAAAACTTAGAGAGATGGTAATTCCGAACATTTGAGAAAGGTGATACGAGCTAGAGACCAACACTTAGAGGGTGTAGAGTGTGATTGCAAGAATGTGAATTGTGAAAGTTTTTGGTGGGCTAGAAAACCGATATTAAGCGTTTTCGAGTGAGCGTCGAAAACCCGGTTGTGTAATGGATTCTTCCCGGGAATGGAGAGCGGAGACGTAGGTCGGAAGGACCGAACTTCATGATCATTTTCTTGTGTTTGAGTTTGGCTTTGGTGTATTTTTTCTTGTATATTTTCATATCGCTATTGTTGCATGTTTATATCGCCCTTGTTTATATTGCATATCCTTGCTCATATATCTTGTTGTATATCATAATTGCTAGGATATTGTTAATTAATTTTAATTGGCATTAATATCGGATTAGATTAGCATAAACCCTATTCACCCCCCTTCAGGGTGCTTTCACCCAAATCAAGATGATACATATTTAAGAACTTGAGCAAAATGTAACCATTCAATCAACCAATAATTATGTTTGGATCAAATTTATAAAACTAGTCACTTTATAGTGCAAATTTGGACCATCTATGCGTATGCAGGTGCATGTATGAAAAACTCTGCATGCTGCACTTATATACATATATTATAGTCCGCAATTATGTATTTATGTATTTCATATATGCAAATAGGTGCATACATGCGTATTGCACAAGGAGCAAAATTTTATAAAAAACAAATAATAATATTAAAACAAAATTTTATTAAAAAATACATATGATATGAGTTTGGATGGAAAATGATTAAAAAATAACAAGTATACTATATTGTCATGTTTCTGCCATTTGCGCATGTGAATTGAGGAAAGATAACATTTTTGGTAAGAAAATATAGAGGGATTAGAAAGGAAAAAAAAAGGTATGAGGGATAAGATAATCATCTTGCTATCTAAATTGTTTATGAAGAAAAGATAGACACAATAAAAATATGTACATCAATATATGCTAGAACAAGGAGATGTTGCACAACCTTTGTAGCAAAATCGTAATGAAATAATGAATCAGTTCATATAAATTTAGCCAGTGAACTTTACATAAATAATGCAATTTACTTTTACAAATTTTGCAAAGTTTTGTTCGTTTTTTAACAAAGGGTGCAATTAGGGTTTGAAATTTAGGCGTTTAGGATTTGAAAGTTGGGTATTTAACAACCCAACTCTACTTATCCCTCTTTAATGAGTTCTCCATCAAGAGTCAATTAGGACCTCAACTTATAATCTACTTTGATTCCATGAAGAAACATTTACTCTTTACTCCAATGTAATATTTATTTATTCTAATCCAATGTAACACAAATGTGCTTTGGAACTCAACTGCCTAAAATTCAGCATAAAAGAGAGAGTTCATCAATCAATTAAAATTTTTGCGTCTAAACATCCTAATTTCTAAGATTAAGATCTAGAAGTTGCATGCTACAGATTAAAAATACTTTCCTGAAAAACCATTGAATATCTAGGGGGGAACATTCCTGACGGCTCACATCAGTTATTTATACAGGCTAGATGGGACTGATATTGGAGCAAAAAATTAGAGATCAATACACACACACATATAGTGATCTCTATACATATGTACATATATATAGATGGGGAGAGGGGGGGGGATATATGACACTTTTATTTTGATGGGTACTAACCTGTAAACCCATAAATTTGCAACCCCAACAAACATTATGTTTCATAATTCATTACATGGACCTTACTTATGCTTAATTCATATCAAAAATATGTTCGTCCCTCATATTTGATTCTGAAACGTCTTATTTGTTGTCATTCTTAGATAATATGCCCTCGTACCCATCAGTTATGATCCAAAAGGATTGATGATCTTAATCATGGAGGTCAGAATGCACGATATGTCCCGCCCCGGGCCCACAAGTTTGTTGGCCTAATGTAAACTGTGGGGCCCACTGAGTGCAGCACGTTGTTTGGCTTAAACCACTGCAAAAATGAAAACACTGTTGAGTTTTGGCTCGAGGAGAGAGGTTCTTTATCATCGCGGTCCCAGCCCGCAATCCGATCGGCGCGATGTAAGTTGTGTGACCATGAGTGCAGTGCGTTGTTTGGCTCAAACTACTCAGTAGGTCCCACAACTTGCACCGCACCAATATGCTCGCGGCCTCGGGCCATGACGAGAAAGAACTTCTCTCCTTGAGCCAAAACTCAAGGGTGTTTTAATTTCCTAATTTGATGGGTCTGAACTTCATGAGACAATATGTGACAAATGTACCCTACCCATTCCTTATCTCATTTTGGGCACTAAATGGGCTCGATCATCTACATACCTAGACGCACTTAAGCTTTTGTGGTATGCTTCATTCACGAATACCAACTTAAGAACCAAATCTAGCCGAGTTTAATGTTAAATTTTTAGGGGGATGAAAATGTATCAGGATATATAAGCATGAACATTATTTAATTAAGTAGATATTATCAAATTAAATGCGAATATTGAAGGAATGAAAATTTTGAGCAAGTGCGTGAATATTATTTAATTAAGTAGATATTATCAAATTAAACTTTCTCACAACAAAATGATAAGGGATGTTGTATTTCTTTATTTTATTATGCAGAGAAAGAGCAAGAGGCTACTTATGCCTCATGGTGATGCTACAACTAGCGTTTATGATAATCTACCAGAGGCACAAAGGCCAATCCCATACGAATTCGATAGTCTTTTAGTGTGAAGGTAAGAATTCCTCAAAAATATCTTTCATAATTTTTATTTTCAAATTTTTATATCCACTCTTTTATGCAATTTTTTTTATTTGGCTTTCGGTATTTTAAGTGTTTTTGACATTTTTGTTTATGCATATGACATCAAGAGGGAAGAAAAAAGAAGGAAAAAAAGCAGATTCACCAAAATGAGGGGAGAACTGTATTATGAGAGATCCTAGACCCAAAATGAAAGAAAAGAAAAAAGAGAAAAGAGCAAGCAACACTAATACAGTAGTTCAATAGAAAAAGAGTGGGAGTTAGATTGTTAAAAGTCCTAACTGTAGCGTTTGTTAAAAAAAAAAGACAATTTCTTACAAAATTTGTAAAAGTAAATTGCATTACTCATGTATAGTTTACTCGCTATAGTTGTAAGAACTTATTCAGTATGATATTGTTATAAATACTTCTGCAACATCTGCGAGATGTCAATATTTTTATTTTTGCTTACTTTTTTGTCGATCATTTCTCTATGAACAATAAAGATATAAAGATAGTATATCCAAATAGAGGAGATCATGAGAGGATACCAGAAATGTGACATGATAATAATTTAGTTCGGAAAAAATGGAAGAACTTTTTAATATGAAATAATCTCTTGTAATTCTTGAAGAAACAAATGTATTTAAGTTAGTTTTCTCTATAAAAGAAAAATTAACAACCGAATCTCAAAGATGTCATATATCATATATTGACTTCATCTCAAATAATACAACATTACTAAAACACATAAATTATGCATCTAATTTACATATAAAAAGCAACAGATTACAACATATCGTGCATCTTACTAACATCTATCATAATAAGTGGAAAGATTCAAAAAGATAATATTGTATAAGGAGTATATACCTTGATCTTATTAGAGCAGACGTGTATATGCATAATTGAGCAAAATCACCATACTAGAAATGCTTAAAGCCTTTTGTAATGATTTGATAAAAGAAGAGAAAGTTCATGGGTTAAAAACATGGATCAGAGTGAACCAAAGAAAGGGCTAGCTGATTAAGTGCTTACAACAGATGCCAATATTGTAGCAAGGGCAAATAAGGATCCCCCAGTCCCTTCTTGAAGACCAATAGCCACTGCAAGAGCCGCCACAGTTGCTGAATGTGATGAAGGCATTCCACCTGATCCAACCAACCTCTTAGAATCCCATCTTTTTTCCTTATACCTGCATGTCTAGGATGAACATATATTGAAGGTTTAACACAAGGAAATGGATATGCTTTGGATTCTCTCTTTTTTTTTTTAACGATGAGAAGTATGTATAGGGTTTCAAAACATAAAACCCAGCCAGAATTTGGATATTTAATTTATTTAGTAATTACTTCTATACATAGTCATTTGAACTTTCACGCAGACATGCGTTGTCTGAATTCCTCATCCGCAAATTGCAGGATGAAGCATTTTCAAACACAATCCAAACTATTAAGAGAGTTACACCGTCTAAATGACCGAAAATTTAAAAAAAAAAATAAAAAAAATTGCATTCTTTTCTGAGGATTTATTATCTACACATCAAGTAGAACAAAACTAGACTTTCCAGAATAAAAATATTAGATTTGTTAGATGATGGTCATTCACCGAGACGGTAACATCTCTGAAACAATTGGTTGTCTGTCTCCAACAATTTTACTGTGCATAACATCAAAACAAAGGAAAATGATTGCAGACCTGGCAAAAGGTCGTAAGATCAATTATCTTCATTACCGTATAATCACAAGATCATCCTAGCATTCTAGCTTAAAGATACAAACTTTACCATAATTAAACACTCTACACTGTTATTCCTTTTGGTGGATTTAAGATCTAAGATCTATTAGCAAGAGGACGAGGAGACGCACCATGTGGTGAAGAGAAGTCGGCAGACGTTAAGACCTCGTTCATCGATATCGACGTCAACACCTAGAGATCTTTCTCTCTGCTTCACTCGATTTTTCTTCTCCTTTCTTGCTTTAAAATCACCGCGCAGGCGATCATTTCTTTGATTCTAGGGCACCGACTCCGACCAACCTCAACCTGCCGTCCTTTAGTTCGCTTTTGTTTATTTATTTTCTATTTATTTCTCTTGTCAATTACTGCGATAGAGCTCCAACATTGATCAACTGCTAAAGAGACCTAAACCAGAGTGGGCTCATAAAAGCTGGGCCTTTTGGAAAGGGTTTAGTAGAAATTTAAAGTCGCCTATTGCGTTAATGAGATAATTAATGCGATAATTTATTACACTGATATAACGTTACTGTTAATTGTACTAATTTAGCATTGACAATAGCAAGACGCAAGTCACAACATACATCGCTTCTGTATAAATTTTAAACTTATTCTGATGTTAGATACAGTTGTCGATGGTACCGAATATTCAAATTCGATAACATTATTTGCTACCCAATTTATTTCCACATCTAGCAAACGCATAAAGATAGTACACATAATTAAATTTGTGTATACCATCTGTAATTGAATATGTCCAAATCCCCTAGTATATGCACCGACAAAAAAGAACGAACCCGTTCTTGATTATACATCCGAGACAGCAACACAACGAAAACAACCACGTGACTTACTTAGTACTCTTTAGAATTATAGAGGGTAAGTCATTTATAATACAAATTATCTCTCCTCAATGACCACCAAGAAACGCCTCAATTAAATGAAAATTACGCCTAACATCCAACGTCACCAACCCTCCATGTTACAAACTCATTTATCCTTAAATAATCATAAATATTTAAAAAAAAATTTTTTGATGATTCCCTTACACCTGGCAACTTCTGGGTCAATAATATTACTGCTATGTCTCGTCTAATATCTCGGAAGCTCAATCATATCAAGTATACTACTAAGCTACTTCGTATATATTTCTCTGATTGTATACAGATCTAGGTCCAGTATTGAGTTAGTTCTCGCAACTAGTTTGCCGTGTGATATTGCAGATCACTTGCCACTGTGAGTCATCACCAGCAGTACTCCTGGGTGAAACTTATAGTAATATCACCGCAAATGTAACTTCATCATGAGAGCATAGGACGCCAAGGATCAAGCACCATTCAAGCCAAGTCCAAAAGATGAATTGAAATAAGTTCTCAACTGATCATCGTGTTGAACTTTGTAAAAGTAGCGAAGAAGCATCAAAGGGGCCAACAACACCCTCAGTCAAGAGACGAGTGGCGGCCCCACGAGTGAACTTCCTTGCAAACAGAAAGCAGGGCACTAATGTGGAATTGCTCTGGCACCACTCTGTCCGGAATTCTGTTTCATAGTACACATTCCTGATGTCCTGCAAAATTCAACGAGCGAAAAAAAAAAGTTGTTTTCATTTTCTGGCAATGCGATGAAAGAACAAATTGAACAGATTGCCTATTTCATTATACATTTTAGTTCAAACACTCTAGCTAATTTTGATATAGCTCACAAATAATCAAGACATTTACTCTGGAAAATATGCAACAGGATAATCAGAATATGATGTGGATGCCTGGATTTCAAGTCAATATTTTATGCCTCTTGGAGTCTCACCTACTTGTCCATTAAGCACACTTCTCGAGGTACTGACATCCCATGAGTTTCTTTTCTCGTATGAATATTTTTGCTCTGTAGGATTCCCAGATAGTACGTTAACCTATTATCTAGAAGCATGACCTTGACCATCTAGATTCAGCTGTGCCACCTTAGAAAAGGTTCCTACTGGTGTCCTTTGCAGGGTTTAACAATCAAACAAAGTTTGAAGAGTCACAAACTTCATTAAAGCAAACAAATAGTGACAAATTCCTCAAAGCAAAAAACTGTGCCTACTGTGGCTTTCCGAGTACTAACTTGTGCATAGAAGATGACTGTCTTTGTAAATATCGAGTCTTGCCTCTTCCCCCTTTGTGAAAGACTCAGGACGAAGTTCTATGTAACAAATGCATCACATGCGGCCACTTGCAAACTTACTGGAACAGAAGCTAACAAGGTACAGTAACAATACTCACAAGTTCAAGGAAAAGGTATTCATACTCGTAAGTTAAAAAACATAAATCCTGAAAGCGATATAGACGTATTCGACGTCTAAACAACTAAATATCAGTGTAACAAATGCATCACACGTGGCCACTTTCAAACTTACTGGAACAGAAGCTAACAAGGTACAGTAACAATACTCACAAGTTCAAGGAAAAGGTATCCATACTCGTAAGTTAAAAAACATAAATCGTGAAAGCGATATAGACGTATTCAACGTCTAAACAACTAAATATCAGTGCTTTCGTAACTTACCTTTATTTGCTTAATATGCTCTGGGCTTGCAGTTTCATATTGAAAGGTGGTCGGATGCCAATTTTGTTTTCCCTTTCCATTCTTCGACTGGTTCCACGAAGTATACGTCAATGTTCTCCGCTCTAGTTCATCTTCAAGCTCGCTCATCTGCAACAAGACAAGCAACTGAATAAGGTAAATGAGTCTTTCGCTCGTACGAAAAGACTTTTAACCTTTTGGACTACAACTATGTCATAAGTCATCATTCCTATCGTGCATCTTTTTTATTTCCCATCCGATAAAGTTTGGCCAAAACTTTTGTTGTTTCTTGTTATACTATTAGGTTGGTACCGACTTTCAGGTCAAGGACTTGACAAAAGAGACGTAAAAACTAATACATCACTTGGTAAGTGGTGACATAGCAATGTGGATTAACCTCTAACAATTCCCCTTGATCAGAAAAGGAGCAGCAGAATGGGAAGATGATAAACTTTTTTGTAGAGAATTTTATTCATTTATTATCAACACAGGTTGACCTATGTTTTTTGCTAATCAGGCAAAGTTGATATATGTCCATATCACGCATGGTTACTAAGACACCATTACAATCCTGTTGTACGCAAAAGGACCATCTCATCTACGTGATGAAAAGGTTTTATATAGAAAATCTTATTCATTTCTCAGCATAGGTTGATATGCTAATTGCGCAAGTTGATTTATGTGTACCATATGCAGTTACAAATCATGGACCTTCTCATCTACATAATATTATAACGGTATTCAAAATCAGCCTGAGATTATAATAGTACTCAAAATTAATCTGTCAAATCCTACAATACAACTTCAACAGTTAGTAGTCTCATTTTATCATGATCTAGAAACTTTAAACTCTAATGCGGTTTGTGTATGGAGCATCCTATGCCAAATATTATAAAAGCAATTTGCTATGGTCAGACAACCCTGGTTTGCACCCACTCGATGAATTGAAAAAAAAACTAAGTGTTGCATCAAGATGAACCTAGTGAACTTTCAATTTGGAGAACAAGTGTGTTCAACTCTTTATGTACACATGCATGCTTGCGCACAATGCCCACATGTGTACATGTGCACAGTGATTTTCCAACTTGGCCAACAAGAAGCCCCCCCAAAAAAAAACTATCAAAAAGTGAGAAAATAAGCTATCTGAATGTTCTAAACCAATAAAAGCATGAGTTATATGCTTACAGATAGCAATGTCTGCACGTAATGTTCATCAGGAATACAATTGTGCTCCTTCTGGACAATTTTTCTCTGCACTTAAAAATTAAAGGTTCAAGATAGAACATATAAGAAAAAAGTTGGGAGGTCAGGCCTAAGACACTAAAATTAAAATTCATTTAATAAGATAAAATCATTCGATAAAACAAATGGGTTTGTAGCAAAAAAGGCAAGAGTCTTTTAGTATCCACTAAATATGCACAGCAGATTGCTAATTTTTATAACTTACTAGAAGCTTTTTCTAATAAGGACAAAGTATATTTCAAGTATAAATCTAGATCACTTCCTAATTGCCACAAAAGTTTCACCTGTCCACGAAGACTCCAAAAGAAAGTTCAGAGATTAGATTAGTCAGCAGCTATAAAAGCAAAAGAATTTACCGTAACCATTTAAGGAGATGAATTTGTCATGAATCATATTATGAAATATGATTTGTCATGAATCATATTATGAAATATGCTAGATGCTTCTAGGAAACTGAAGTTGTTAAGAGTGTAAAATTATAACCTTTACACATTTAAAGCAAATTTAGGGGGAAAAAACTACCCGCTGCAATAAATACAGCCCGTGAAAAGAACACTCAACCTGTGAGGCCATGCTAGAGTATAATATTCTAGCCATCAACCCTCACTTCAACTTCAGTTATTATGAAGTGAGAGGGACTTTAGAGAAATACCACAAGACCTAGAGCTAAATTGTTGGAAGTGATATATTGAACAATGCTTCATAAATATTTAAATTTCGATTTCAAACTCCAAACGTATGGAAAATAAAATATAGTAATACGAGTGAGACAAAGATAGTCCGGCAGCAAATCCATTTAGGCAGATATGATTAGAGTACAACAGCAAAAATTCTACAATAAAGGTTAAGGATAGGCACTAGCTGCACTCTAGCCTAGGATCAATACATGCAGACATCAGGCTGCACCGTAGCCTAGGATCAATACATCCAGACATGTTGTCATCTGAAATCAAGAATCAGCGTATAGTTTGCACCCACCATGCAGGCAGCTTCATACAAGTGCACTCAATTAGTTGTGCATGAAGAAAATACCTCAGATTTTAACCCTAGTAATCTTTAGCCATGAATTAAAATGAGATAATTTTACAATTAGCATTTCACACAGTACTGAAGTAAATAAATATAAGTGTATAGCAGGAACAAAACAACGACAATCATAAGCAATATTTGAATTAAGAGCTACACTAGTGATACTGAAAATCGTATGTTCTGAGAATGAAATGCCAACAATAAGAGTAATAAGATGATGCACTGAAAACAATTTAAAAAAGAGGAACCAGTCACTCACCGCATTCTGCTTTCCTTCAAGATCTAGATCTGGTCTTCGCTGCAAAGAGGCAAGCATTAAGATGAATCCTTAGATAGTGCCATTAAGTGTACGAACAACCAAAACAATATATTAAGTTATATCAGGTGTGAAAGTCAACTTGCATGGCCAGACAACGTTATAGTGCATAGAGAGGTATGAACTGCGGTAGAAGAAATTTTCATTTTAAACCCAATCCAATTTTTATTTTTGAAAACCGACCCACTCCCGTTTTAATTACCAAAATCGACCCATTTTGTGGCCACGTCAGCAACGTGGCCACGAAACGGGTCGATTTTGGTAATTAAAACGGGAGTGGGTCGGTTTTCAAAAATAAAAATTGGATTGGGTTTAAAATGAAAATTTCTTCAACTGCGGTAATACCATCAACATTAAATACTTTAAAAGAAGTGGCAACATGACTGCAAATTTGCATGCTAATATGCAGCCATGCATGACTTCATGCTCGTACAGGTACATGTGTTGTGTGTATATGTATATCTTATGCGCGTGTATGCACGTTTGTGTCTGTGTTTGGGTTTTATGTGCATATGCTTTGCATATTTATATACGAACATGCATGTAAGTTACGCCTGTGTGCATCTATTTGCCCCAAATAAAGTTTGAGGAGGCTCATTGTAAATAAGCAAATTGCTGCATGGGATGGAGAAAAATGGAAAATTTTGAAACTATAGTACCTAAAATCAGTAGACATATGTTTTATTCCTAAGATGTAGAATAGTCTCAGCCTCTGAGGATATTCAGCAAATATGTAATTGTGTGTTCACTAGTTTTTAGAATAAAATTTACTATCAAATAAATGATGCAAGTCTTTTCACCGGTAAATACTGCAAATTATAATTATTCCAATTAAGATATGTTAGGCATTACCTTGCAATGTTTCCTGAAAATTGGAAAGACAATATTGTCAGCAGTGATCACTGCTGCATGCTTTCTAACTAATGTTATCCACTGCAAGACATAACACCAATCAGTACAGTCCCAGAAATTTTAGGCCATGGTATGTCAAACCTTGACCGCATGTTATGTAATAAGAATCTTCAACCTGAGATCCTTTCCTCCATTTGTCCTTGGGGATAGTAGGAGACATCTTTGGATTGTAACGACCATCCTTTTTATCATCCTTCTTATCAAGAAAGCTGAAAGTAAGATTGTAAATCACCCATTATCTTCTTGTGATGGACCACCGAGCAAAAATTTATGGTCCCATTTATGATAGGGAAAATAATGGCTATTATTTGGAAAAGAAACGTGAGGCAAGAACTGGGAAATAATCAAATATTATATGCAATAGACGTGACCAGCAGAAAAAAGTATAACTGGTGGTTGATAAACAAAAAAAACACAGCACACAAATAGTGCTTTCAACTGTAATGATAACTAAATTTGATTTATAAGTGCATTATCTTACAAAAATGACTCGCAGTTTCAAAACAATTGGAAATACTGAATTATGGCAATTTTTGTTTTATTTTTTAAAATATTAGTCATCGTCTTCATCCAATACAACATCAGCGTAGAGCTAGTTGCAGAATAGTAAGTTCGTCAAGCTCCAAGAAGGGGAACTAAAGTGTTACCAAGCACAATTTACACAAAAAATAAATCAATTTACTATAAATAAGAATACTAACAGCAGGGAACAAACTAGATTTCACTGCCTACCTGTCCACAAAGCTTTTCGAAGAAGACATCAAATAGTTATATATATAGCTGAAGTTGTAAAGAGGAACGCAACTGCAATAGACAGAAATATGATTAGAAAATCAATCTCAAAAACAACCAGAAATATCCAGAGCTTATAATTTTATGACATTAAAATTTCACATTTCCTCTTTTCTAAAATGTTGAAAAGGAACGGTTAAAAATGTGGAGGCATGATGGTCCGTAAATCATAAGAAATGGTTCTTAGAATAAGAAAATGCATCAAATTAGCAGAATATTCTCTATCATAAGTTGTTTGAGGCCTCCTCTCATTCAATGAACAAACCGAACTAGCTGCAATTAGTGTCCCTGACTACAGATTGCTCTCCTTGGAAACAAATACAGCAGAGAATCACAGGTACCATAATCTCCCTTAGAGACTTGGTATGATGAAAAGTAGAAGATGACTTATCCAGCTTGTCAAGATATTTCATAAATGTTCTAAAACCTTTGCATTAAAGCCAAGCTCTTTACAGTCACAAGAACTTTTCTGAGCCTGTAACATCACCAAAAAGATCTAGCAAAGAAACGTTTGTGATTTCATATTTGTGTTCAAAATTGAATAGCCTTCTAAATGCGTCATACAACAGTTATTACATAGAACTACGAAGCTTGGTGCACTGGCTAAGGACACAATAGAAGGAAGCGACCAGGTCTACCAGGCAGAACCCAACAGAGGCGAACCAACTTTTGAAAAATAAATAACTACAAGATACATAGGAAACACATTATTGCATGGTCTGGTCTATCATTATAAATAAAATTTATCAGCATTCATAAAGTTATATCAGCTATCTTTAGGTCTAGAGGTGAAGGAGGTTTCCCAAGGTCCAGCTTCAAAAATATATTGTAACCTCTTGGTGGTGCAAAAACCAGTACTTCACAATTGGCTCCTTATTTAGAGATTGTTTGATTTAGTAAAAACCCAGGTGATTCCACCTAAATCTAAACAGACTACTTCATAGATTAAGTGTTGTCATTAAACATCCAACTCACAACCTAATAAGCCAAAATGGCTCCTTCATCTAGCATTAATCTGAGCTAAATCAGAAGACTAGTACAGGATAGATGATATTGGTTGAATATTTTGGATCAAGACATAGAACAAGGACTCGGTTTTTGGCTCTCATCATGGAAATAAGAGATCAATCTTCACAGAGTTAATAGGAGTCTATCATGTAGTCGAGGCAAACGTGCAATTGTCCTTCCAATGCTCTAAATCCATTCTCCCACTCAACTTTTTTCACTTCAAGTATGCACGTCTTATGGATACTCATTCACCAATTAATAGCGATCAAAACTTTACCTTTCTGATAGCAATACAAACCGCTGGTTCGCAGGATCCTCAAGTGCCTTCCTCAGCAAAATCCTCTCCGCTTCAATCATACTGGCCTCTCCCCATGCCACCTACAAAATAAAAAACAAACCTTTTGACTCGCTTCCTCATTAAAATCAAGGTGGTTTTTTTTTAAATCAGTCGTTTACTCAGATTTATTTTCAAACCCGAACACCAAACTCATTCACACCCCCAAAACATGCAAGCTGATTTATGCGACAAGCTGCTATTTTATAATATTAGTTAAACTACCATAATATTAGTTTAAGTGCTAAATGATTCGGGAATGGGCCTAAAATTTTAAAAAAAATAGATAACTAAAATCAAATCAAATCCCAAACCAAATCAAACACCTGAATACTGTTCTCAACCTGCCGCCCAAAAAAGAATGGCGACCTCGTCGTCGACTCATCAAACACAAACCCCGGGCTCGAATGCACATAAATCGAGAAACTCCCCTCTTCAGCGTTCTGAAAGAGCGCGTGCCAGATAAAATCGAGCGGCAACCCCGCACGCGCGAGGAACAAGAACGCGACTTTAGGGTTTCCGACGAACTCCTCCTCCGATCGAACCACCGCCGCGGCCGGCAGCGGCGAGATCGTCTGAGAATGGATCTTCAACAGCGCGAGGACGCAGGCGATGACGGAGAGAGAGATTACGAGGCGGAAGAGGACCCAGAGCTGGTTTTGGAGCGAGTTCGACGAGGAAACTCGCTTTTTGATCATCGTTGGGTGAGGAGGAGGATGAAAGGGTTTGAGATTTTGTAACGCATCGAGATCGGATTTAAGAGAAAGAGAGAGGATTTTGATTTCGACACGTTTGTTGAAGTGAGCTCTTAATTGTTGCCGCCAAAGAAGGGAGTTTTTTTTTTCGGTCGGAGGTTTTTTTTCCCCCCTTGTTGGGTTGCGTTGTTCACAAGGAGTGCGAACGAAGTGGGGGCTTTATGGGGAGCCACGTGTGCATCTAGATTGTCAAAAACGATGACGCGGATTATGTAATGGCAGTACGGGTCGGTCCGTCGGTGGTTCCACCTTGAAAAAGTTTTGATTTTGGGAGAAGTAAACTCAATTCAAAGAGCTGCTACTTGTCTTTTTTGGGCTGGATTGGACGGGAAGTACACGAGGTTGGCGCGTGCAATCATTGTAGTTCCCGGCCCACGACGCCGTTGTGACGGGCCGTGGCCGCGGCAGGTACAGCGGACCCGGTTCCGTAGTCTGTCGACAAGGGGTAGATCTATCGAAGCGGTTAAGGGGGTGTTTGTTTCCAATCCTATTATTTTAGGATATGAATTTCACCATGTGATTTGAAGTTCATAGGTAATTTGTTATGAGTTAGAATTCCTAAAATTTTGTTTGTTTTAACAATATTTTGGGATTTGGAGTACTATAATTTGTAATATTTTTGTATGTTTTAAACTTTTTGGAATTTGAAATCTTTAATTTGTCTTACACTTTTGAAATTCACCCCACATCCCACCCAAAAAAGAGAATTTCACAAATCCTTAAATATAATATTTTTTTATTATTTGGGGATTTGATATTCTTAAATTTGTTTTGAAACAAACAAGTTTTATGGAATTCTAAAACCCAAAAAACCCCACTTTTTGATCCTAGAAATTGAAATCTCACCCAAATGCTAAAATTTTTTTGAAACAAACACCCCCTAAATTGACCACAGTTTCTACGAGGATACCTCTACATCGGTCACGATTTGTTGGGAAATTAGCTTGAAATTTTCAATTCTTCTATTTAAATATATGGTTCTAATAAGATCATTATTTATGGTTAGGATGACTGCAGACTTAACATGCAATGAGCAGTGTATAAAGACAATATTGCAAGCAGCGCCTTGCGAAACAAATTAAATATTTCAAACTGTTGTTCGGATATATGTCTTTTTTAAAATGAAGGGGGCGCTCGGTAAATTTAAAATGGTCGGAATTACGAAAGTTATTTTTTTATAATGCATTGAAAACGCATCAGCATGGGCGTTTTAGTGAAGAACAGCGTTTGTTTACAAGAAAAATTATTGTTGAAACTGAAAAAGTAAAGATAAAATGAAATATTATGATTTTTAATTGTTGAACATCATATTGTACCCTCAAGGATTGTTAATAAGTAAAATAATTTTCTTAAGATGCTTTTCCCATATTTAATTCTCACATTCATCCAAGCAAGCACGGCCCAAATATGTTTGAAATCCATATACAATGATTAGTTACAGAAGTTGTTAATTGCATATTTTTGCTGCAAGAAATTTATCTCCATTGCAAGTAAATAATCTACTTATTTGCAATTATAAAATGATCTGTATATTTCTGAGTTGGAATCCGCTAATTTGGCAATGTGACTGTTTTCGGTGAAAGTCGCTGTTTTCATTGCTTTCGAAATCTGTTACAACTTTAAACGTTACAACAAGAATCGATAAAAAAAAAGTCGGTCTTTTTATAAGACCTCCTTGTGCAACAAAACAAAGATTACAACTTTTCGAAAATAAACACGAGATCCCGTTTTGGTGCGGTCTCGTTTGCGTGGGTCTTTGGCCTGTGACGGGGATGTTGATATCCGTGGACCACCGGGGCAATCAGATCCGTTCCGGATAAATCGGACAGAGTTTCGTCGATCCGCGTGAGATCTAGAAACTTCCGGTCCAGAAATATCGGACAGAGCTTCGTCGATCCGCGTGAGATCTAGAAGCTATAAGCGTATACCTCGGCTAAAACGAGGTAATAGCTCTTCTTAGTATCAACGCTAAAGGCCGATACTAAGGAAAGAAGGGGGGAAAAAGGTGATGAAGGCTGATGCCGACCTCTCTTCCTCGGTTGAAGCGCTCGATGACTCTTTGCTGCAGCAGGGCTTCGCCAAGGCTCTCCAAAAATCCTCCTCTCGAAAGCAAGGCCCAAGGGGGCTATTTATAGGTAAATGAGAGTGTGTAGGGGGTCTAGGGGGGTCTAGGGGGTGCGGACACCCCCTGGTGTCTCGGCCGGTTACGCGTTGACCGGCGTTGACCCTTAGGGTTTTGAATCGTCGAACGTCGATTGGTGTGGATTTTCATCCTCGAACGTTGACTTTTGTCGCAACGCGTTGACTGGCGTTGACCTAGGGTTACGCGTTGACCGGCGTTGACCCTTAGGGTTTTGAATCGTCGAACGTCGATTGGTGTGGATTTTCATCCTCGAACGTTGACTTTTGTCGCAACGCGTTGACTGGCGTTGACCTAGGGTTACGCGTTGATCGGCGTTGACCCTTAGGGTTTTGAATCGTCGAACGTCGATTGGTGTGGATTTTCATCCTCGAACGTTGACTTTTGTCGCAACGCGTTGACTGGCGTTGACCTAGGGTTACGCGTTGATCGGCGTTGACCCTTAGGGTTTTGAATCGTCGAACGTTGATTGGTGTGGATTTTCATCCTCGAACGTTGACTTTTGTCGCAACGCGTTGACTGGCGTTGACCTAGGGTTACGCGTTGATCGGCGTTGACCCTTAGGGTTTTGAATCGTCGAACGTTGATTGGTGTGGATTTTCATCCTCGAACGTTGACTTTTGTCGCAACGCGTTGACTGGCGTTGACCTAGGGTTACGCGTTGACCGGCGTTGACCCTTAGGGTTTTGAATCGTCGAACGTTGATTGGTGTGGATTTTCATCCTCGAACGTTGACTTTTGTTGCAATGCGTTGACTGGCGTTGACCTAGGGTTACGCGTTGACCGGCGTTGACCCTTAGGGTTTTGAATCGTCAAACGTTGATTGGTGTGTGGATTTTCATCCTCGAACATTGACTTTTGTCGCAACGCGTTGACTGGCGTCGACCTAGGGTTACGCGTTGACCGGCGTTGACCCTTAGGGTTTTGAATCGTCAAACGTTGACTTTTGTCGCAACGCATTGACCGGCGTTGACCTAGGGTTACGCGTTGACCGGCGTCCACCCTTAGGTTTTTTGAATCGTCAAACGTTGATTGGTGTGGATTTTCATCCTCGAACGTTGACTTTTGTCGCAACGCGTTGACTGGCGTTGACCTAGGGTTACGCGTTGACTGGCGTTGACCCTTAGGGTTTTGAATCGTCATAATCGACGAAAACGGGCGTATCCGGGTCCAAAACAGGCATATGGGGACAAAACGGGACTCGAGATGCCCGGGGGTGTCTCCCCCTTGGCCGAGACACCTTGGGGTGTCTCGGCCAAGCCGAGACACCCTAGGGTGTCTCGGTTTTGGGGCCGAGACACCCCTTCTCCCCTTCCTCTTTTTCATTTGTCTTTTTCCCCCTTTTGGTTTGTTTCTTTTTCCCTTTGTTTTGGTCCATTACTTCTTTTGTTTTCCCCCTCTTTTCAAAATTCAAAAGAGAGTTCCCCCTCTATAATTCAAACACTTTCTTCTTCCTCCTTCTTCCACCATTATTTCTTTTCTTTCAAGAACTTAAAACCCATAAACCCCCCCCCTATTTCGGTTTTGTGTCTTCTTCTTCCCCAAACTTCTTTCCTCCATTGATTTGTTCTCAAGGATCCATCAATCCTTCAAGAGGGGCTAGGATTTTGGGTGTCTTATTTGCAAATTCGGCCAAACACTTGCTCCTCCAAGTAGGGTTCCCTCCTTCATCTTCAAGCTTAAAGAAAACTCTTTTGATTTGGTAAGCTCTTCTTTACAATCCTCTTGTTTTCGCAAAAGTGGCCGAAGAATTGGGGTGGTGTTCATGTAATAGAGGACTGAAGTTTAGGACCTAAATTACATGTTCATTTGGCCACAAGCTTGAGGGGTATTTTAGGCAAGAGGACCAAAAGTTGTTGGAGGGGTTTATTTGCAAAACAGCCCATAAATGTCTTAGAGGGACTTATTTGCAAAAGGCAGTGAACTTATGGCTGAAATCCAATGAGTTTTGACCACGAACTCATGATCAAAATTTTGATAAGGCATGTGGAGCCCAAACCAAGATTTTGTAGAGGGGCTTTTATGCAAAATTGGCTGAATTCTGCAAAAGGGCTCATTTGCAAATTTTAACCAAAATTGTGGGGTACCGGGGTGTTATATGATCGAATGTGACGATCATGACCCGGGTCACGCGTGTCCTTGACCTAGATTTTGGCCTTGAACACAAAGGGTATTTTGGGTATTTCACCAAAATTCACCGTGAAAGATGACAATCATCGTGCACGAAATTTGTAGGTTTAATTAGACTTCAATTATGAAATCCTATTTGTGTATAGGATTTTAATTAAAGTTCTTAATTTCCCTTTTAAATTTCGTATATTCATGTTTTAGATTGTACCTGACTTGCTGCTTTTCGTTGCAGATTTGCAATGTCTCCGCGTCGATCTCGTCCCCGGAGGAGCCGTTCTCGTTCACAGCATAGTGAGGAGGAGGTCCCCACGACATCCTCTCCCGCGGCTTCATTTTTCGGGGGTGAGAATTTATGCAGAGATTTTGTCTTACATCCCTGATTGACCTCTTTGCGGGTCATGAAGGAAGAACCGATACCTCTCTCGCGGAGGGTAAGGTTTCAGACTTGTTTTGCTTAGCCAATTCAAGTCTTCGGATATATTGGGGCGATTTTGTGTTGTCCTACACCTTATAGGTCGGTGTACGTTACCACGTTATTCACGTGATGACGCATGCCGTCCTTCTGGTGTAGGTCACTCAAAATCGTCTCTCCAATTATTCCGTGGATGAGTCTATCATTCTTCTTACGAGATGGATTTTCTGATTCCGCCCTTGTGCTTTATTGCAGTGGAATTTCCCGCGGGTAGCCTTCCTCCTCACGCCAACACCGGATGTAGTCGGGAGGTTTTCTCTTCCGCTACTCTTAGGCAGGCTGTTGGCCCACTTCCTCGGTTCGACGGGGATCGTCCAAATGACTCTTGCCGTTCGATACAGGAAGGAGGGCGCCATTGCTTGCGCCAACTTATCACAG